ATTTTAACTATAATAACAGCTGTGATAACTTAAATAACTGATGAACTGTCATTTATCATATTAGATATTGCTTCTGAAATGGTGTTGCAGGAGGTAGAAGAGGTACTAAAATAAGTGAGTAGCAAACTTGAAGAAACAATTTACAAATGGCACCAGGGGGATATTTTTATCTACTGTTGTTCTAAGTCTCATTGTTCCTACAATGCATTAGTAGTGGAATCCCACATTTGACACTGAATTTCATTGGGCTCTATCTACATGCCTGGCATGCAGTTCTTCCTGTAAATCATCCACCCTGCAATAGTGTTTCTGAGACCTAGCGAAGTACAGGAGAAATGCTTCACAGCCTGGGAAAACATGAGGAAAGCTGTAACAGTAAGACATACACCTAGGACCAGAGGTAACAAATCAAGTTTCTCCAAAAAGTTCAGCTAATTACAAAATGGCAGGATACCTACGAAAAAGTTTCCTGACCAAAATTTTTGAACCAGTATGAAAGCCATGCGAAGTTCTGCTTATCTCCTATTTAAGGATAAGATACTCCCTGAGCCAGCAAGTTGAGTCAACAATATATGCAATGAAGTTAAAAACAATTTTGCATCCCAAGAGAACTTCCTCCTTTTGAGGACAACACAAGCTTAACATTTAACTTTTTTCCAGACACTTCACAGGTATAGACTACATATTTTGTGATCTGAAGATTTTTTTCTAAATAATCCCCATCAGGAAGTATGTTGCAAAGATGCTAAAGTAAAACAAGTAATTGCTCACAATATTAATCAAAATCATTAGAAACTATGTTATCAGTGTCAGGTTAGTTAATTTTCTCATTTAATTAAAATTATATCCCCATTCATTTTATTTATTTTGCAATCAAAAGGACATAACCAATTGCTGAGGGGATATATTGCGCTATATAGGATGACTAGATAATCATGCAGTGCAAGCCACTGGGAATAAATCCTACAGCCCAAAGACAATCCTATACACAGAAAAATACTAAAAGATGTTTTCATCAAGCTGCAAAGAGAATGGGGGTTTTGAGTGTTTCCTCTTGATGGGTTTTGGACTAAGTTAATTCACAAAGCTGAGTTCATTTCAGAAGAACAGATTCAGGAAGCAGGCAATTACTATTCATACAACTTCAAAACAGGCTAAATTACAAAAGTACCTAGATGACAAGCATGTCTGAAAACAGTCAACGCATTTTGATGAAAGACAAAACTTCCAAAGTTTTCTAAACCAAAGACTACACTGTTCATTTTGCTTTCTTGAAATGCATATCGCCTTTGGAAAATTAAGACAAGAGGGTTTCATTAAAAAGAAAACAGAAAGCATTGATCAAACACTGACAATTCTTTTTGGAGAAGTGATCCTGATCTCTCGAAAGCAGGGAGCCGCTTAGGCTGCGGTGAGATAGGCAGCTATGCATGTATGGGACTACCAAAGGAGAGCCAGCTCCATTTGCCTTGTACTGTAACTGGGCAATGTAAATGGC